TGCAGTATTCCCCACGGCCATTGGAGGACAGGGGTATGTCTAAATGCTATATTGAGTGCAGACATGAAATCGCTTTGCCAGAGCTCTTGATATCTGGACAGGCTCCAGCTTTGGTCCAGAAAGCTGTATGAGCAGGGGAGCAGAGCCAGAAGAGTCGTGTGTGCTGGAACCAGCTCACCTCACCCTATGGGTGGATGGATAGGCATGCTTTTGGGGTTGTCTTCTCTTGACTTTGCCCACCACAACTCATGGGAAGTCGGGGAGAGCTGGGAATAAGGAATGCATTGGAGAAGACTCAGCATCTCTGGCTGCGGATGCACAGGGTGGAAAGGAACGCTGGTGCAGTGAAGTGTTTGCTGTGAGCTGCTCTCACAGCACTGCCCAAGGCCCTTCTGCTGGTGCCAGGTCATGGCAACGTTGGGTTGTTACTGCTGCACGTGTTCCCCTTTCACTGCAAGAACAAAGTCTGTTTCCTTCAATTCATTGTGTCAGTGCAGCCGGGTCCCGTGTGCAATCCCTGCTATCAGTGGTGGGAATGCTGCATGAGATGAATGGATCCCTTGGGAGGAGCATGCCCCTGAATCCCAGCCAGAGCCTGAGGATGCTCCAGCACATGCCAAGGGAAGGGAATGTGCCCGGAGCAGAGGGCTTTTGTTCTAAGAACGAAGATGATGAACACAAGTGGGATTTCCCAGCTGCTTCCTGCCCACTCCCATTTCACACCCTGGAAATCAACTGGGAAACCTTTATTTCCACAAAACTCAGGGTGCTGACCCAGTTTTAGAGGTCCTTGTCTTAAACACCAGATCTAGACCTAGATCACTGCCACATCTTGGGTTCAGGTTTAGGGCTGGCTCTATTTGAATGGCCAAAGGCAAATCCTTCAATACTGTTATGGCCTTAATAATTATCTTGGTACTTTAATTAGGAGCTCGATGTGGTTTTGGGGCAGGACACAAAGTGGATTACAGGAGCAGGTGGTGCTCTCATTAGGGACGTTAACCTCTCCTTGCACAGAGAGGCAGGGACAGAGCCTCAGCAGCTCGTGTCTGCGTGCAGGAGCACTCTTGCCTTGCTGGAATCCCACTGCAGTGATCCCAAGCACCAAGTGGCAGCTGTGACACATGGCTGTTTATGGAGACCAGAGCTGGAGGGTAAATACTGATGTAGATTCCGATGCTTAATCTGCTACTGGCTGATGGTGTGGAAAGCCTGAGCCCCTCTTTCTACAGCAATTTATAACCAGAGCCTCCAGCTCCTCACCTTCTCCAGCAAACACATTCCCCAAGGCTAATTCTGCAGTATCCAAGCCCTTCTGGTCCCAACCATCCCAGCAGCCGGGCTGGAAATGGGAGGGTACCAGCAGAGATAGCTGCAGGTGATGATTGGGGCATCATTAGCAAACAGGCTGTGGCAGTGCTCATTATGGGGGGTGTGCTCATTAACAGGGCACATCCTACCCGTGGTGTTAAAGCATCCTGCCCCCTCCCATCCCTGCCTTTCCACCCACTGCAGCCACTGCTGGAGCTTCGGTGGTGCTGGTAGGAGCAGAGCTGGTGTCCGGGCTGGTCCTGCAGGGGGTGAGGCATCAGGGGAGCAGTGAGGTTTGTCCCTGAGCAAAGCAGAGCAGTGCAAGAGAGAAGGGCAGCGCGGTGCCAGCCCATGCCCTGCCTTGGTGTGTGACAAGGGAGCGGCTGGAAGCAGCAGAGCCTGAGGAGCACCTGGGCTGGGTTTGGGACAGGCAGCTCAGGACAGGGGCTCTTGGAGGAGGCCCAGGTTCCCACTTACTTGTGTTGGTGATGCCGGTTCTCCCACCCCGGCACAGCCGAAGCACCCCCTGCCCTGTATGTGCTGGGCTTTTCTGATGGAGGACATGAGTTTCCCTTTCATTTGCTGGAGTGTTTTATGGCACCTGAGAATCCTCTTGTACTCCTGGAATGGATTTCCCCTTGGCAGTTTCCTGTCCTCATTGTTTCCCATTCGGGAGGTGTGGATGCATCACAGATAAGATCCTTAACTCCTGGCAGGTTGATCAGGCCACAGATTACTACGGAGTCTCCATCTCTGCAGCAGCTCCTGTAACGCATCCCCTGTTTGTCAGGGATGGCAAAACGAGCTGCAGCAGCACATTTCTCTCCCTGTCTAGCTCTTCATGCTAGAGGAAGGGCTGGTATCCCTTAGCTAGTGGGCAACTGAGGCCAAATAGCTTGTGGAAGCTTGCACAGGGGGACCTATAACGCACCCCGAGCACCCTGCAAAGGAGCACAGCCTGTGGAAGGAAGCCCTCAGCACAGCCAGGTTTGTACTGCATGTACCATTTTTATTTTCACATATATATATATTATATCATTTAAAACAGAACGGTTGTGAAAGAAACGGTTTTATATTAGAGCAACCCACCATGTTCCTCACAGCCTCTTTGCCTGCCACTGAGAGATGCCCTGCACTGGGGAAAGGCTGGCCTGCAGACTGAGTGTTCCCCATCTCTCTGCTGCTACTGGGATAACTCTCCCTGTCCTCCTCCTGGAAAGAAAGGTGTTTTCCAGTCCCTCCCCTCCACAGTCAGTGCAAAGCTCTATTGCTCCACCATACACCCCATCCCCTTCCTCCAGTGCTGGGGCTTCCTGGAGGGATGGAGGAAGGGGCTGTGTGAAACCAAATGATGCACTGAGCGATCCCCTCCTGGTAAACAGCCAGGGCAGAGCCTCCTCCTCACCTTCAGCCTTGGTTTTCCTCTTGGGGGCTTCCCAGCCCCATTTCCCTTGCTCACCAGGGCAAAAGCCAAGCCCCGGGGCAGTCACTAGGCTGGAGGATGCTGTCCCTGCATCCCACGCAACACATGGCTGGGTTGGTGGTTAAAAAGCTCACACTTGTGAAGAATACCGCAGTCAATCAGGGCTTTATCCCTGCAGAATAAAGTGGCTGATTCAGCCCTGTAGGGGGAGGCTGGGGTTATCCTAAGGATGTAGTTTTATCTAGAGCTCTTGCTGCTAGATAACGAAGCACTGCTCCTGGCCCGCGGCAGAAGCCTTCTGCACACAGACACGGTGGTGCCTGCTCAGTGGGGCTTCGAGGTAGATGCCTGCTGTGGCTCTGGAGCATCGGCTCCTGGGGAGGGCCAGGGCCTCTCATCTGGGTCTGCTTTAGCCCAGCCTGCTGTAAGCAGCACCAGGAGGGCTGGGAGAGGCGAGAGCAGAGGGAGGGAATAGACTGAGATCCTGAGACAGTCCCCTGAGAAAACGGATCAACTGGAAGCTCCCCTTTGCTCCAGCACCTATTTTAAAGGTTCGATTCTCTGTCCTGGCACCACAGACTCCACGAAGGCTCCATCACCTACTAGGAAGCTGGCAAACGTTCTTGGAGGTCTGCTGGCCTGGCAGCTGAATCGGGCTTGCAGTGAACCACGTTAATGTGGAGGATGAGAATCAATTGGAAGCAGCACGGCTTTGTGTGCAAGCACAAGTTCTCTCCAGTCCCTTCGAGTCCTGGGAGGGTGAAGTAGTGAATGGAAGCTGATGTGCTGGTTGCTGCGCTCTGAAAGAGTCCTGCTGGAGGCACAAGGGACCAGAGAGCCAGCCTAGAGGCCAGGACTGGCAATAATGGGGCTGAGGAAGAGAAAGGGAAACCAACAGCGAGCAGTTGGCTTTCACCGTGGCAAAAAGGCTCCATCTGGTGGTGTTTTCCCCCCCAGAAGAGAAGGGAAGGAGCGGGGATGGGAAGCTGCAGCTGAGAGCACTTGGTTACATTGGCTCCTACCAGAGAAGAGGGTCGAGGAATCTCAAGGTGGGTGAATGGGGGTAAATGAAGTCGTGTGTGGGTAAATGCAAAGGGGACAGTGGTGCTCCCAGCACGGGCAGACCAGTGGAGATCTGTGCTGCTCGGCACAGGTGAAGAATCAACCAAAAGAGAGATCTATAGAAAAGGAATATTATAGCATGTATTTTAATGCTTTTCTACGAAGCAGAGCCTAGGGAAAGGGATACTGCAGAAACAGGGTCAAAATGACAAGTGGTGAAAGACCCTGATATGGAAACAGGCTGAAAAGGTTCCTGTTGGGTGAAGGGAGGCAGGAACACGAGGGATGTAAGTGTTATACTGTGATGGCTGGTTCTGCTAAGCCTCTGCAGCAGCAAGAAGGGATGCGAGGGGCCCTGCCTCTGTGCTTGGACAGGATGTGTAGTAACAAGCTTCAACTGCAGCAAGGCGTGGAGGGGAAACCTCACCTAAAGGTTAAGGTAGGAAGTGGTGGGGAGGCGATGCTGGAGGGGTTAGGACCAGGTTGGGCAGCTGTCTGTCAGGAGGGCCTTTCCTACGTGGCACATAGGCTGCTCTCAAGATCTGACCCCCTTGGGCTCTCCCAGTGTGCCCAGTCTCGGGCTCTGACTGCACTGGGAGAGGAGCCTGGGTGCAGGACCACTGCTCATCTCCTAGCTCCAAGGTCCCTCCGTCTCCCTCTCCAGCTGCTGACCTGCTCTAGGAGATGGAGGGGTGAGTTTGGCTCAGAAGGGGCCAGTCACAGTTTCAAGCCTTAGGGTCACCTGGTAAAAAGAACAGAGCTAAACCATGCTGAGGTACTTCCGTATTGTAAAAGTCAGACAGATTTGAGGTGTCAGAGTGGGTCCGGGTCCTGCCCCACTCCCCCAAAGTCCTGTTTAACCATTAGTCACGAACAGAACAAGGTCAAGGCACTTCCCAAAGATGCTGTGCCCAGAAGAGGCAGCTACAAAGCACCACAGCCCCAGGCTCAACCGCAGCACGTCTGCACCATCCTGCCCAGCTGAGCTCAGGAGGCAAAGAGCTGCTGTAGGGGGGAGATGCAACTCCAGGGCTCCCATTGGGAACAAGGGAGACCAACTGGTCACAGTTGGGCTGCTCATCTGCCAGCATCTGAAGCTACTGAGTGGATGCAGAAGGGGAGGGAGGGCAGGCAGCCAGCCCGCACCAACCATCAGCCACCCCACAGCCTTTAGTGTTTGGAAACCTGCTGGTGTTCTCCAGCACCCGCATCAGCCATGGGAGAGCAGCAGGTCTCCAGGGTCAGGTGCTGGAAGGGCAATCCTGCCCACCAGCACTGCCATGGATTGTCAGAGCAGGCAGTGTGATCCTTTGAAAGGGGTAGGGATGCTTGTTGAAAGGGAAGGCTCAAGTATCTGCGCTCAGGAACAGAGGGAAGACGAAAGCAAGCCCCACATGTGCTCATGTTGGCTTGCCCCTCCGGTGCCTTACAGCAGCAACTGCAGCACCCAAGGCTGCGACCCCTCTTCAAAGGCATGGGCTTGAGGAGAGCCATCAGCAAACGGGGAGCTCCACGCCTGCCCCACGGAGCAGACGGGACCCACGCATGGGCACCCCCACAACACCTTTGCTCCCCGAGACTCCTGTCTCCAGAGGAGCCGGCTCTGCCCCACTGCCCGACGCAGCGATGCTCTGTCCACAGCAGCTGAGTGAGGCACGCAGCAGGCAACACAGTTGGACCTTCCCTCCCTCCCTCCGCTTCTCTCCATAGTTCCTGGTGGCATCTGCATGGATGGCAGAGACCCTGGGCCCTGGGGTGGGTCTCAGGTCCAAGCTGCTCTCTCCTGGAGGTTCCTCAAATCCCCCCTCTCTTGAGAAAGATCAACGCAGAGCAGAGATTTGAGAGAGCTTGGCCGGACCCCCCCAGCCTCTGCCACCACCTCGGTTAGGGCTTGAAGAAGCGTCGTACCACTAAATGTCCCACCATGACCAGGGCCACCACCACCAGCATGTACTTCATGTAAACATTGTCCAGATCGAGCGCAGCCGCCTAAGGGGAAACAGAGAATAACCAGAGCATGTCAGACCCACCGGGGCCACCCCATGCTCCCCACCTTGCACTGTCCTCATCCCGCATCCCGCCGGCTCCATCCTCACCCATCCTCCCTGCTGGGCGATCCACCGGGCGATGCGGTTCCGGAGCATGAACTCCACGACGCAGCGGGCGATCCAGCGCAGGAAGCCGGTCCTGCCTTGCTGGTAGACGTGGATGGCCATGCGGTAGCCAAAGCCCAGCAGCGCGATCACCCGGCCCCAGTTGATGCCGCTCTCGAACAAGCTGAAAGGAAGCCCATGGTTTGAGTCAATCCCGGGCCTCATATTCTCAGCATCCCCAGGATGAGGGCTCTCAGGTGGTGCCACTCGCAGAGCAGGGCTGGGGATGCTGCTCTACCCCTCGCAGTGATTCTGTGGCTATGGGACATGCGGCCACCCGCAACCAGGTTTTACTTTCAGAGCAGAACAACACGGCCTCGGTCCCAACCACTGTGCCTCAGCTGGGCAGGCTGGGGATCTCCTGGGGAAAAGGAGTTCCCAAATCCTGTCCACACAGCCACAGGCCCTGGATTGCTGCAGAGGATAGTCCTGGTGGCTGTTGCTGACCTGCCGCCTTCCTGCCTTTCCCTTGGGTTGGCATCTAAACAGAGCACTGCAGCTGCCTGGACATCCCCTGGCTTCATGGGCAAGGCTGTTAACAAGGGAAGATGAAACTGGTGGTGGTTTAAGCTGTCAGGCTGTAGCTGCAGCAAGCTCAGTAGCTGATACGCATGTGGCCAGGAGCAGGGTACGACCCACGGGTCCCAAAGCATCCCTGGCTTATGTGGTCATACCTGGAGGTAAGGAGGTTTAATTATACCTGAGGACAAAGTATGTTAGAGCAAGACTTTCCCTTTCCTCCACAAACTCCTCCAAGACCACAGCCTGACCTTTCCTTACACTGATTACCCCAAGGGCTGGAGGGGCTCCAAATGTGCCTGCTCCCGATCCAGGTTTAGCTTGTGGTGGGCACGGATGCATTGCTGCAGGCAGGTTGGGCACCGAGTTACCTGCACCAGTTTTTGCAGGCGTGTTTCCTGGTTTCCAGCAAGTCAAACAAGAAGGAAAGCAAACGGAACAACAGAAGGAGTGGGCTCAGGCCCTGTGTGTTAACGTGGTGCCCTGGCCTGGTCTGCACAGCCAAAGGGAACCAGCACTGCAGAGCCTTGCTGTGGAGATGGCACCGTGCAGGTGGCAGAGAGGGAAGTCAGAGCCCGGAGGGGACAAGAGAAGCACAGAGAGGGGCAGAGGTTGATTCCCAGGGGTCATTTACCTGTTTGCGGTGCCTTAACCGCCTCAGGCTGGCAAAGCGGTGAGAGCAGCAGCGGCTTCCCAAGGACAGGGAGCAGGAAGAGGACAGAGAGAGGCAGTTAGACACAAACACAAGGGTGCGCAGGGATGGGGCTGTGCCAGAGGACCTGGGAAGCCAGAGAGCCCAGTGCCAACCCCGGCTCTGGCAGGGGTGGTCTGGTCTGCACGACCCTGGGCACACGGTTTGATGTGCAGTGTCTTGTCCTCCCTACAGACAGGGGTGTAGGGAACCCCTTGATGGCCACCCTGGCCCAAGGCTGTACCTCAGGCAGCCAAGGCAATACATTGTCCAGGTCTTTGCCTGTGCTGTGTTTGAGTGAGGTGGGTGAGCATCACCTGTGCAAGGCGGCTGTGGGTTCTGCAAGCCTGTGGAGCATCCTTCATCCTGAGTGAGTCCAATCCCGCTCTATGTGGACCACGCCAAGGGCAGTGAGTACCTGCCTGTGCCCACAGCCTGCAGCTGCCTTTGCTCTGAGCCTGGCTCAGGGCTGCAAGTGGCAGTGGGAGCACCGGTGGGTCTGCCTTGGTCCAGGGCAGGTCCCTCCCTGCGGGGGAGCTGGGACATTCACTTGGCTACTGATGCATGGGCTGTGCATCCAGGCACATCCCCCAGACTGTGTCAGCTTGTGCAAGCACTGTGAGATGATGGCCCTGTGAGGATGGTCCAAATGGTGCACAGGAGGAGGAGCAGACAGGCAGGAACCACAGGAACCCTCATGGGCTGGGAGCTCAGCCCGGGGACAGCGGACAAGGCTTGAATGGACAGGGTGCAGAGCACAGCGCAAGGCTCTCACTGCGTGCGCTGCATCCGTCTGCCCTTCCCTTCCTGCTCCTCTCCAGGAGGAGGTGCCCAGCGCACGCTGAGGCCTTACCTGGAGGCTATTCGGGTGAAGCACTCGTAGGCGTTCTCCTTGGTGGGCTGCAGGGACTTGAGCAGGCAGCGGAACTCCGCGTCGTACCGCTTGTTGATGTCATCGCCGATGATGGCCAAGCGCTGGCCCACCTGGCTACCGGTGCTGCCCAGGGCAACACAGACAGGTCAGTGAGGGGGGGCTGTCACAGAGCTGGGATGGGGTTAAAGGACGGGCACACGGTTGGGGTCAGTTTTACCTGCCCAGCTCCTCCTCGATGTCCATGATCTCCTGGTCCACGGGCACCTCCTCCCCTCGCTCCTCTCTCTCCTGCTCGTAGCGGTAGAAGGCATAGCTCCGAAACACCTCCTCCGTCTCCTCGGCCACCTGGTCCTCTGGGAGAGACAAGAGGAGAATCACAGAGCAGTGAGGGTTGGGAAGCACCTTAGGATCATCCAGTTCCAACCTCTGAAGAAGCCAAGGGAGAAGCTCGTCTCCCTCCTTTCCCAAGCTGGAAAGAGACCATTCCCTTATTTTCAGCTGAAACTTGTGCTCTTTGCACTAACATTGGCCTTATGGAGTGACACAAAAGGAATCCAACAAAACATAGTTCTGCAGCCAGCCGTTGTTCCTGGGGGCACAAGCCCACCTTGGGAATCCAGTTCTGGCAGGAGACAGCTACAGAACTGTCACACAAACCAGATGTTCAAGCGCTTGTGCTTGCCAGTGTATTTTTACCTCTTGATAAGGGCACTGCTCAGCACAAACCAGTTCAGGAATCTCAGATCCAAACCCAAACTGGAGGCCAAGCTCAGCCTAGCACTGCCCGTCTCAGCAAACAAACTTGTTTTTCAGTGTCTCCAATGACCGAGCCCTTGCATGGCACCAGCAGTGATGCGGGGAGCAAAGTTAAAAGGCTCATTTTAGTGACTCCTTGTTGACTCAATCGCACATCCCCAGTCTCACATTCCCAGCAGCAGTGATGCCAGGGCAGGGTTTGAACTTCTGCTTGGGCTGCTGGCAGGAACAGAAAGGAGAAGAGCTTCTGAATAACCCCTAAACTCTTGCCCAGGGATGTGACTCCCCATCCTGTGCTTGAGAGCAGATGAGCAGCCAGGTGATAACGCCTGCTCTGCCCCTCGAGCTGCATCCCAGCAGTGGCCAATCCCTTATCCCAGGCGTTGCATTGCTCCTGGGGAAAGTACCCGCTCTGTCATGGGATGTCTTTGATTAGAGCTGGGTTTCAGCTGGCTGCAAGCAATCCGGATTAGAGCGCTTGTTCCCAAACAGCCGGCGGCAGCATGGCTCTTCCCTGGCTCTCTTTCAGGAGGCAAAACTTGCAGTGGACAGAAATGGTGTGGAAGGATCAGATCCCCGCTCCTTTGGCTGTATCACCACCCAGGACATTGATTCACAGACACTGCATGAGGTGCAAAGCCCAGGTAGGTGAGCTTCGCAGCTAAAACCCTGTCCCACCATCCCACTACATGCACCCACCAGATTGGCCAGGCCAATGCAGAGATGCTCCTGCCTGAGCCGCGTGCTATGGCTGGGGTGTGAGGACACAACTGTCCTGGTGATGCTGCCCAATAAACCCCTGCATCCAAGAAGGTGCCACACTGCTCATGGATGAGTTTTCCTGGCTGCTCACATCCACGTGGCTCCAGGGAGATGGGCCCAGCCCCGGATGGGGTGCGGGGAAGGGAGAGCACCGGAGCTGTCATGCCCAGACTCAGGTTACAGGGAGCTCAGGTTGGGTAAATAAAGGTGAGGGGACTCGAGGAGCCCCGGTGTTTGCAGGGAATGGCTTTTGTTTCGCAGGTATCATGGGTTTATTTGGTGGTAAATAAATCCCACCTCGGACTGGAGCCGGTGACAGCACCGAGAGCCAGAAACGAAACCGACTGAGTCACAGTTTCAGTGAGAGGCCGTGCAAACACTGCGAGAACAAAGAGGAAATGAGGGTACCAAAAACCCCCTGCTCTGATTACCTCAGGCGCTGCTTTTAGTAACACAGGGACAAGAGAACGCATCTTTGCCCCACCCCAGCACCCACTGGGGCTCTGTCTCTCCTATTCAAAGGATCTGGACCAAAACTTGCCTTGGGGACTCCCAGTACCAGCAGTGGAAGGAGGGCGAGCAGTCTGGAGCTCCTCTGGGGGTCCTCAGGGCTGTGTTAGGGGCTCACAAGCTGCTGTGCAAAGGAGGACCTGCCCTGTTCCTGCCCCATGAAGCAGTGATGCTGCTGTCTCCACTGTCAGCATCTAGACCCGACCCACCCCAAGAGCCTCTTGCCTGGACCCATAGCACTGAACAGACCCCAGCCAGTCTCCAACATGCAGCATCTGCATTCCTGTGCAAGATCCTTTGCTTCTCACCATTCCCATCTCATGTGGAGCAGCTGCGTTGCAGTCAAACCTGGCAGCTCTCACCAAAGTTATCCATCAGACCTTGTTACAACCGAATAGCCCTGCTAGAGACTGTAATAATGACAGATGCAACCTGGCAGCATCCCTTTCGAGCTCAGGAGACAGGCAGTAACTATGCCGAGAGGTGCATCTGTTTGCACAGAGGGAGACATCAAGCCTGGAAGCAGCAGCAGGGTCCAAAGGGAGGAAACAGCTCCAGGGAACCAAGAACAGGCTCTGGAGATTTCTGCCTTGAGGGGAAGCTCGACTCCACCTCCTGCAGCTGCAATTCGGGTGTGGGATGAGCTCTATGTTAGTGGATTTGGGTTCCCTTCCACCCCTGTGAAACCGCTTGCCTGTCACCAGCGATGCCATCAGCACCAGAGGCTGATCAGCCTCACGCTGCACACAGGCACAGTCCTGCACAGCTCACACCTGAGAGCAGAGGTGCATGGTGTTGCTCCGGCACTTTGCTGCCCAAGCTGAGCCCTGTCCCACACTTGTGCATCCACTGACCTGCATCCACTTGTGCATCCACTGACTTGCATCCAGCGGATGCTCCGAGGGATGGGTACCTCCAACCTGGAAATCGAGCTCTCTCTGCCCCATCAAGTGCTTTATGAAAGAGCTTTTGGGGCGTCCTTTGCAGACCAGAACAAAGGAGCCATGAGGCAATTCCATAGCAGAGTTGTTATCCAGCACAGCCCTGGGAAAGCAGGTACCTGGTGATGCAGTTCAGTGGGAAGTCCAGTGCTCTGTGCCTGTGCTGGAGATAGGATCTGCTGGGCACCAGACAGCAGTATGTCTGACTGACTTTGGTTGCCCTACAGAATGTACCAGAACCCAGGCTTAAACAGGCAGCTCACGTTTTTCCTACTCATTCTGCAGGTCGTTCTGGTGATGAAGACACGCTGATGCTCACAGATGCAGAACTAATGTCCCTCAGTGACTCTTCATCAGTCAGGACCGGCTTCACATGCAATACCAGGTGCAGAGCTATGACAAACAACCAAGGACCAAACCTCACACCTCTCTAGGTATGTTACATGAGTACTAAACACGCACAGATGACAGGGCCCAAGTAACCTGGCACTGCACGCTGTGCATCAGGGTGGCTCCTGCCTTTGTCCACAATACCCTAAAACCACCAAAGTGCAAATTGCCACCCAGCCTGGACAGAAACAGCGGCTCCTTGCCCGTGCCCTAAGCACTGGCTGGTAGGACAAGGGCTCACAATGATGCTCAAGCAGATCCTTGAGCTCTGCACTCCCTACTGCAACAAAGGGAGCCCTAAGTGAAAGCCAGGTTAATGCCTGTGGACAAAAGCCTTTTTCCACCCTGTAACCCCATTGCACGTGTTGGTGGAAGCTGCACGTTTCTGCTCTCAGTGGAGTCCCTAAGGCTCTGGCCTAAGAGGTGTGCAGAGATCCCACCTCCATATTCCACATGGAGCACCTGACTTTCGGGAAGCAGCGGGATGCCCGTACTTCCAGTAAGTGTTGCAAGCGCACAGGAAGTGTGACTGTAAACCAGTGTGGTTAGAGCTCAGGCCTGATCCTCTCACTGGTTTTCACATCAGCATCTCATTGGCCTCAACAGGAAATCACCATACGTAAACAGCTGCTCTATTTATTTCCATTCCTCGCAGACTCTGGTATGGAAGGAAAGGGGTATTTCTGTGTCCAGTGTGCTCGTGCAGGATCTGGCACGAACGATACTGTGAGATGGAGAGGAGTCCAGGCAGTGCCAGAGTCTAAATAACATTATCGGGGCAATAAACCCGCTCTGAGCTGGATCTGAGCTCAGATACATAAACAGCCGGGTATAGGGTCTAATCTCCACTATTGACAGACTGCAGTGACTCAGCCTTATTTACAAGTCCACCTGCAGAGCAGGTTAAGAAGCCACCCGCGTTCAGCAGCTCTGTGCAGCGGCATTTGAGCCCTTGGACATGAAATGGGAGCTGAGGTTTTTCCTGGCATCCTTTCGGCCCCGCTCCCGGTTTCACCCATTGCTGTGAGACGCAATTACACAGTCTGCTGGGCCCTGCATGCACGTCATGGCCGGAGCTGCTGCTGGGGGTGGGCTGTAACTGTTCATCACTGCTCTGCCAGGGCACCCAGCGACCCGATTCCACCCTGCGGCACCACTGAACCCAGCTACAAGAGCAGGAGCGTTTCCTGCGGTGTTTTCAACACCCAGCACCTTTCCCTTAGGGAAGGGAAGGTGAATGACTCCAGGCACCAGCCCCATGGCTCCCTGAGCCCTATTGCTCGGTGCCCCCTTGCTGCCCATCACACTGACCCAATGCCAAGCATCTTCCACAAGCACTGGGAATGCGCTCTCCCAGTTCAGTCCAGCATAACTTTATGGAGCTGGTTTGTTACCTTGACCTTGCAAAGGGCCCTGGCGGTATGAAAACCCCCATCTTCCCAAAGAAACACTGCAGGGGAAGGGAATCACAGCAACCTTTTTACCTGAGTTGAGCTCCTGTGATGGCCTCTGCCTGTTGCTTCCCCGCCGTCCCCAGTCCCTCAGCGGGTCACCATCGTTCCCTGAGGCCATTGCAGAGATGCTCAGGTGCCTTGGCTTCACCTGGAACAACGGTGACAGACAGTAAGTGACCCCGATGATGAGCAGCCAGCACAGCCCCTGGCTCCCTCATACCTGCCCACTGGGCTCAAACACATACATACTTGCCCCTTGGCATAGGCAAGTGCTTGGAGGAGCAATGGGCCCTGCTTTTATCTACCAGCAACCTGGCTCCTCCCACACCAGGTCCCTTGGTTGGATTTCTCCTCTCTTCCTGACTCTCCTTACTAACGTGTTTGCAGGCAGTCACATGCCAGGCGAAGAAGGTCACCCAGCTCCCTGCCCCACTTCACCTCCTCATCCTCACTGGAAACCTGCTGGCCCGCTCAGCAAGCGCCATGGGCTCTTGCTCAGCCTGGACCACAGCAGCAGCTTCAGGATGGGACGAAAGCAAAGATCCCAGCACGAAGGGCTCCTCGACTCCCTGTTTCCACCAGGAGAAGGTGTTGGAGCTGATGCTTCGCTGCTGCCTGAATCCAGCTCCGACAGCTCGGAGCGCAGCAGGAGCAAACCAATGCATGGCCACAGCGACCTCCACAAGGGATGAGCTCCGGTTTCCTAAATCCAGAGGCTCCAGTCCCACCTGTTCTCTATGTTCTAACCCTGAGCTCCTCTCAGAATAACAAGAACCAAATGCACAGCTCACGTTGCCCCCGAACTTCGCAGGTAGCCTAAGGCCAGACCTGCGGATGAGGGCTCGCTGCAGTTCATCACCCTGCCCTCAGCCCTGCTTTTGAGAGAGGAGGAAGCGGGGCCACGCAGCTGCGGTCAGGGCGGAAGAGATCACTGCAGCTCCCGGCATGCCAGTACTTGTTCAGGCTGCTCCCAGGCCGAACTGGTGGGGGCTCTGATTCGCGCCACATCTAAAGTCATGACGACACGTTGAGACCCTGGAATCTCAACTGTACCCCAGGCACAAACAAAAGCAGTGCTGGTGATGGGTAAATAACCACCGGCGCCAGAGTTAGAGGCGCGGCACGTGGTCCGTGCTTACAACCTCACACTGGAGATCATCAGGAGAAAACAGAGATTGAGCCCAGAAGCAGCACTGGGAAGTACAGCCAGCAGCCAAGGTGGGAAGGGGACCTGGGAGCGTGAAGCTCATCGGCCTGGTGTGGAAAGCCACCGTGTGTTTGAGTAGCTGCATCCAGGGAGCCCCAGCCGCAGCCACGCACAGAGGGAGATGCTGCTTTTTCCTACCTCCCTCCGAGGACAGGAATTCCCTTTTCCTCCCCAACCTCAAACATCCCCATCCCAGGAAAAGCTGGAAGCACGACGAGGGTCGTCAGTCGAGAGCAAAGCCAGGAAGAGGCTGGCTCCCACTCACCCAGCCCCGAGCTCAGAGCTGCTCCTCTCCTTGCTCCGCTCTGCACTGGGACGTGGTGGAGGCAGCTCAGTGCTCTGAGCGGATGCACGTGCCTCCGTCCCCTCCTCCACAGAGGAAACCCTCCCGCACTGCCTCCTGCTATCCCCAGCAGCAAGGCTCTATCCGCAGCCCACCTTGGTGCCTCTCGAGGGGAGCCAGGGCCGCACGTTCGTGGGTAACCAAAGGCCCGTCCGCCCCGGAGGCTGTGCTCGGTGATGGGGAGGATGCAGACAAGCCAACCAAAGAGCTCGGTTTGGTGGTTAGGTCCGTACCAGCCACACTTCCCATGAGCCCATCACCCAGACCCCGGCTCTAACAGGGAGTTCCTGATGTACAAAGGGAGCAGAGCCCGGTGCAGCAGCAGCGGCTGCCTCACGGATCCTCCGCACTGCTGCCTGGCGAGCCCTTCGGAAACAGCAGGTTCAACTGGGGCTGTCATGTGCAAGGAACTTTCATTTTCGGTTTCGTTCTCCACGCGCCCTGCAGCGCTTTCTGCTCTTGCAGCACAGGGAGACAGGCTGAGAAAGTTGGGGCTGTTCAGCCTGGAGAAGGGAAGCTGCGTGGAGACCTCATCTGAAGGGGCCCATAGGGATGCTGGGGAGGGACTCTTCATTAGGGACTGTAGTGATGGGACAAGGAGTAATGGGTTCAAACTTAAACAGGGGAAGTTTAGATTGGATATAAGGAGGAAATTCTTTCCTGTAAGGGTGGTGAGGCACTGGAATGGGTTGCTCAGGGAGGTTGTGAATGCTCCATCCCTGGCAGTGCTCAAGGCCAGGTTGGACGAAGCCTTGGGTGCCATGGTTTAGAGTGAGTTGTCCTTGCCTATGGCAGGGGGGTTGGAACTTGATGATCTTAAGGTCCTTATCAACCCAAACTATTCTATGATTCTATGACTCTATGATCCCACAGCCCCTTTGCACACTGGCACAGCTGGGACCAGCAGCTATGTCCCAGTGCTGTGCTGCTGCTCCCGAGAGCCCCTAAACTCCCACTCCTGCAAGCCAAGTGAATGCCCACTGCCAGGCTCTGCTGGGGGGCCAAGCACTTAGGACCACCCTCTCTAGTACCAAGAGCGCTGCTGCCCACGTTCCTCCTGCATCCCAGCCTACTGCCCCTTTGGAAAAACACCTTCACCCAAAGGGCTGTCAAGCACTGGAACAGGATGCTCAGAGCAGTGGTGGAGGGATTTAAAAGATGCATAGACATGGCACAGGGTTTAGTGGTGGACTCGGCAACGTTCAGTTAATGGTTGGACTCGGTTATCTTTATTAAAGGAAGGTCTTTTCCAACCTAAATGATTCCATGATTCTAAAGTTTGTCCTATTCCCATTTTATTATGAGGAGACGATGCTGGAAGAGAGCAGGGGAGGGTGTGGAGCAGGATATGGCACCCACACACATAAAGACAGCCCAAGGCTGCAGAAAGTGAAGGCTCTCAGGACTTGGGACAAGGCTCACAGAGGGTTTGGGGAGCTGCAGCTTAGGGGGAGCAGGGCCTAACTCTCAGCAGCTCCTAGAAGATCCAGCTCCTCTCTGACCTTCTGCTCTCACGGGAGGCTGCAAAGGGTTAAAAGCAGCAGAAAGCACCTAGGAGATGGAATCAGCAACACCTCCAAGATGGGTACAGGAGTCTTATCTTTATTCATGAGTACAGGCCAGGCAAAGAACCAGCCTTCCTGGAACAGGCCAGGCTTCCCTAATAAAAAAGAAGACCTTTGCCTCAGCTGGTTCTCGTTTCATTCTCATCTCCTTTCCTTAAAGGTCTCTGACCCATTTCATGGGTGTCCTTAGGACACACTCACTAATCTCCTAATGCTTCTGCAAGGGGAAGAGCCTGAGTCCTGGGTGCAGGAAGAATGATGGGACTGGCCTAGGGCAGGAGGCAGATCTCCATGCTGCAGGAGCAGCCATAACCCTATGAATAAGCCTGGCTATGGGGCTCTGAAAGTCACCCCCTGACAAGTTATGAGAATCTGGCTCCAGAAAACACATGGAGCATCCTTTGGGACGAGCAATTTGCAGGTCTGGCCTTGGGCCCCTACATGGGAGGGATTCCATCACCTGGCGTGCCTGGGATCCTGTAGGATTCCTGTGCCCTGCTGCCATCCCTGCATGGACCAGGGAGAATCCTCCCTGCCTGGCCTAGGGGAGCAAACAGGTGAGTGTGCTCGGTTTGCCCACTGTTTGCCCGCTTTAGCGTTAAACCAAGCCCACAAACCCACACGTGCTGTACCCGGCGCCGCAGCCCAGAGAGGGGTGAGTTGGACCTTGGTCACCATCACCCTGGTCCTCCCTCTGGCACACCGCTTCCCACCGAGCGCTGTGGGACACATCGGGACAGCCACGGCCACGCTGAGCCCCTCAGGCCGAGCACGGGGATGCTGCCGTGGCCATCACAGCAGCGGGCAAGGGCAGAAACATCCCCCCCTCCGCTTCTCGCTGGGGAAATAGCCTTAAAAGAAGCGATATTCTCTGTCTGGGGCAGCGATCAGCTCCGGGGAGCGCTTCCAGCCCCGGCACCCGCGGACTGCTGCTCCCCGGGCTGCTTTATCCCCATCCGGGGCCGTGCGGGATGAGGCCCCGCGGCTCTGTGCCCCCCTCCCGCCTTGCCGGGGCTCCCGCATCCCTCTCCCAGGGCAGCGCAGCCGCGGCCGGGCCCGGTGGGAAGGGATAACCCATCCTCGGGGGGGGGTCCCGGTACTCACCGCGTCCCGGCGGGGCCCAGGCTGGGGTGTCCGGGCACTAACGCATCCCTGCGGGCAGCGGCCCCATCCCGCCGCCTCCCTTCCTGCCTGCTCCGAGCGCGGTCGCGGGGGAAGGAAGCGAACAGGGCCGGGGAGGAGGAGAGAGAAAGAAACCAGCCCCGAAACCCAGCCCCGGACCATTGACGCCGGAGGAGCCGGGCGGGCTCAGGCTCCCTCTACAGGCGCCTTGCCCGGCTGGGGCGAGCTGCAGGCACGGACATGATCCCTTCCCATCCTTGCGCATCCAATCGCACCCAGGCACCCGGTTTGCCGTGGTCCATAGAATGGTTCGGGTTGAAGGGACCTTAAAGCTCATCCATCTCCAACCCCTGCCACGGGCAGGGACCCCTTCCACTGGAGCAGCTTGCTCCAAGCCCCTGTGTCCAACCTGGCCTTGAGCACTGCCAGGGATGGGGCAGCCACAGCTTCTCTGGGCACCCTGTGCCAGCGCCTCAGCACCCTCACAGGGAAGAGCTTCTGCCTAAGAGCTCAGCTCAGTCTCCCCTCGGGCAGGTTCAAGCCATTCCCCTTGGCCTGTCCCTACAGGCTGTTGTCCCAAGCCCCTTTCCAGGTCTCTTGTAGGCCCTATAGACACTGTGAGCTGCTGTGAGGGTCAGGTCAGGGATGCTGGTCATTTATCCAAGTATCTTCAAGACAGCATGAGCGAGCCAGAGGAGGCCATGTATGGAGCAGGATGGGCATCACCAATCCAGACAATGTGGATGGGGAAGGTTTGCAGCACAGAAACACATCCGCAGCAGAGCACAGGCTCCAGCTGCTTGGTCAGGGCTCTGAGAGTCCCTGAAGAAGGTACAGGACTGAGTGGAGCTGCAAGAAATAGCTGGGGTGGCAGAAGGGCTGTGGTTTAATACAGCTGCTGTGCTGGAATGTGGGCTGTGCAAGGTGCAGCGCATCCATCCAGGACAGAGCAGGCCCCTCTCCACGGGGGTGCAGAGCATTAAAGCACCTCTTTGAGATACTGCCAACCTCTTGTTCCAGGCAGCAAAGCAGACTCCAGGGCAGTGCTTGCCCATAGGCCTGGGGAGCTGCCTGAAGCTGTTATAAAGATGTTTCCTTAACAGATTTCCCTGCTGTACAGCAGAGCCGTGCTACTGCTGCTGCTGCCTGGAAAATACAGGAGGCATATGAATGCTTTGGGTATGGGAGCTCTGCTGGGATTTGTATCCCCCTGGAACAACGTTTTTTCCTTGTTTTCCTCAGTTCCCCGTCTGTGTCAAGAGGCATCTGCCCAACTGCTTGAAGTGCTCCGAGATCGCTGGATGATGAATTGACATGGCAGGGGTAGGGGGGAAGAAGAAGGAGAGGGTTTGTCAGGATCGGCTGCTGGAGTTAGCATCGCATCAGCTCGAAGCTGTTGCACAGAGACATTTTGCCAGCACTGACACAACCTTGTTCTCCGTCCCTGCTGCAGCCTCATGGCCCGGGACGCGCGGTGAAGCAAAGAGACCGGTGATACCCCGGCTCCTCGGGTCCTGCCCCCGGTGCGGTGCTGGTCGGGAGCTGAGCGGGGAGCTCCGCCGCATCCCTCAGCCCTTGGCAGAGCGGCGGCTCCTGCTGGGGCAGCCGCTCCTCGGAGCACCAGGTGGCACTGTCCGACCTCCAACGGCGCCAGGCCGGCCCGGACCGCGGGATGCGACTCAAGGGGAAGCTGCTCCCCGGTAGGAGGGAGCCGGTCCAGCTCCGCGGCACCCGGCTCAGCAGCGGTGGTGGCTCTCCGGGGATGCTGGGGTATGGAAAGGAGCAGCAAACCTGCTGCTGTTCACCGGGTGTTACCCACAGGGTCTCCTCCTGGTTCCTCTCTGCAGGCAAGGCCCCTTTCCCGGTTGGTTAAAGGTGGTGGCAGTGTCAAGCGCCCAGGGTTGAGGTTGTTGCTGTGTGTCCCAGCTCCTTGCAGGGCTCAGCTGCCGTGCCAAGCCCACAGTGTCTCCATGCTCAGTTTATCCTGGCTGTGCTCTCTCTGGGCTCTGGATGAGCAGAGAACAAGAGGCTTCAGGCAAAGCGCTTCTTGCACGCACCAGATTTATCAAATTGACTAAAAATAAACCCAGACCCCAACAAATCTAGGCCTTGTTCCTATAATAGCTATTGGAGCATGTTAGATGTTAATCAAAGCGTCTGTTTGCTGTGTCCAGAGAAGCCAGTGTAAGCCAGCTTGTGTTTTTCAGGCATTGGAAGAGCTGTCAGGTTATGATTTGTTCAGGACAAAGTAACTTATAAACACACCTTCAGATAACCAGTTGTATGTGTATGGAGGCGGGGTGTAAGTGTGTCTGTGTGTATCCGTCAGAGGGCTGACGCCATTGTGTGGGCTTCCAAGAGGAGGGCAGGGACTCCGAGACCTTCCTGCTTTACACCCTTGTCCCCAGCAAGCTTGGGACAATCTGCTTATAAGGCCCTGTGGTGATGTGGCCAAGCAGTCAGCATCTGGGCCAATTCCTGGCAGCGAGGACACGTTGAGGGTGTTATTCCAGTTTGCTGTAGGACTCGGGAGGTCTCTCTGATGTATTTCTTTCTCTGAGGTTTTCTGAAGACAGAGGAGAGACCATTGAATGCTCTGGGAGAAGCTGGGAGCAAGTGGAACAGGAACCCCTGGAAAGGCTGAGGTCAGTATAGAAGAGGAAAACACCATTGGAACACTGACATGGCGCATCTCTCTTTGTGCCATGTGCCACCATGGTTCACTGTGGCCACAGCTGTATTCCTGCCTCCACCAAGCCATTGTTTGGCCACAGGGAAGGCACTCAGGCCCATATGCTTAAAATTGAACCCTGACAGGTCCATAAATTGCTATAGAAAAGCTGGTGGCTTCTGCAGGATAAAACCCAGCACGTTTCAGTCGAGGATAGTTATTAAATAGGCCTGGTTTTAAGTCTCCCCTTTGAGAGACTGGCTCTGCGCTCCCTGCCTCAGTTTCCCCTTTCCCGTAAGGCTGCACACCAACTCCTCCCCTCCAGACCAGCCCACGGGTCAGCGCTGTACTTGTCAACGCCTCTCGAGCCGTAGCTAACGAGGGCTCTGGCAGCACCAGGCAGTGCAGAGGAAACGGGCAGTTTCCGAGCCGGGCCCTGCGGAGGCAGATCCGTGCTGGTTATCACTGCCGCGCTGCGGGATGAGGGCAGCTGAGCACCAGCGCGCTGCTCCCCAAGGCAGGGACAGCCACGGGAGCGGAAAAAGCCACTTCCTTCACTCCGTGCACAGGAAGAGCACGGCTGGGCGGTGGGGATGGGGCTGCTCGCCCTCGCTGCCCACCAGGAGCATGTGCCTGGGGTCCCTCCACAGCATCCCGTCTCCTTCCTCCGTGTCTTGTCTCCAGTAGCTGCAGCAGGGGGGGTGAGAAGCTCCCAAACAGCATTGGAAAAGGGAGCGTGGAGGTGGGTTCTTTGTCTCACAGCACGGACTCGCCGTCCTGTTTGCTTGAGCAGTGCTCTCACACTGCTGGGTGCGTGCAGGGACATGGAGCACAGCACCCGGGTTCAGTGGGGAGGCTGCCACGAGGCTCAGGGCATGGGGCTGGTCCCGAGAGCAGCACAGTGGCTCCTTTCAGCCTCTAAGGGGGGTGTCTGCAAACAGATACCAATTCATAAGCATCATTCAGATGCCAATTCATAAGCATCATTCAGATGCCAATTCATAAGCACCATTCAGATGCCAATTCACAAGCATCATTCAGATGCCAATTCAGAAGCCATCCTGGTGGAGAGATCTGTGCTGCTGCTTCTTTGCTCTCCACCCTGGTGCTGGTTGGGCTTAGGCTTGTCCCAAAGAGCTCCTCAGCTCCAGCTTTTTCCTCTTCCTTCCCCTGTGTTTCTCTGTAATGAACGTACCCTGTTTCCCTGGCTGCTTTCTCCTTTCCTGTTCCTTGGGAAAGACCGGTGAGTCTCACCCCCCTGCTGGCACGGCCTGGCTTTGGTTTGAAATTCACTTATTTATGTATTTAGAATAAGCCCTTAGCGTGACTAAACTGTTCTCACTTGGCCCTCTGATTATTCACTTTCCCTTATTAAAGAGCTCAGTGCTGAATTACTTTTTCTCCTTTCCCAACCCTTCTTTTACCCTCCAGCTTTTTCATCTTCTCCGCTCTGTGGCTTTTAAGGGTTTTATTCATAATTTTAGGCTAAGAAGAGCCAGGTCTCAGCCTCTCTTCCCCACCCACTGTGAAAGGAGCAGTGAGATGGGTTTGGCTGGTGCTTAACTCCATCCCTTCGGGGAAAAACAACCTCTTAGAGAGGTTGGAGAGGGGTTGGAGGTCCTGTCCCTGCCCTTCCCCTTGGGTGCAGGGCAGGAGATGCCCCATCCTCACTGGCAGCGCTGGGAACCACTGACCTCAGCTCATTCACGGAGGAGCTGCTGGCAGCCGGGCTCCTGCTAATCTGGGAATTGTATGCCAGGAAGCACACACCCAGTGACCTGCCCCGCACCGAGCCTGCAGTGCCTGCACCAGCTCCCCCCAGGAGCTCCTCTGCACCGCTCGGGGCTGTTCCTGAGTGCTCCCCAGCGCATGAGCCCTCACTGGGTCCCTCTTGGCACTTCCCAAGGGTCAGGCACTTGCCTTGGTTGCCAGAGGCTGATGCTCCCACCAGCAGACAGCGCTCCTGGCCTGGCTCTTCATGGGATGCTCCCACAGCCACCTCGTGCTCCTGCCAGGCTCTGGGGTGCATCACAAAATGGGCTTGAGCATCTAAACTGTGCTGGTTAACCTGAAACCCTGGCTGAGAGAGATAAGCTCCCTGATCTTCTCTGGGGGGTTCACTCTGGACCCTAACAATGGCAAATTAACCAGAGCCATCAGTACTTTCTTGCTAGAGTGGTTTAGCAGATCCATCCTGGCAATAAACCCTGGGTACCAAAACTCTCTGTCCTTGACACATCCTCAGAAGCCTTGAGCTCCAAATAGACTTCTGTGAAAAGCCATCTGAGATTTCCCAAAGTGCTATATAAAATGTGGGTATTGTTAGCAATCTCCCTCTGCCAGGTCATATGTCAAACACCAGCACGAGGTGTGAGGAGGAAGGGTTTGCCTTGGCTGAGTCATTTTATAGCAGCTCATTTCAGGGTTATGTGCACCTCTGGGAAGCAGCTGGTGTCGGCTAAATCGGGTCTGGCAGAGGCAGCAAGTCATTTCCACAGCATCCGAGCATCCCTGGTCCTTGTCCCTGCG